CCTGTTTGAGTTGTAAGTGTAGGACTACGCACTAAAGTGATTCCTTTTGTTGAGGAATTGTGCATATCCAAAGCCTTGTGAATATTAATTGATGATGATGCACTGACATGGCTATTGAACCGTGATGCAGTTACCAATCAGTCTACCAAACAGTGGATCCAGATACGAGCATTTTGACCCAAACCAAAGTGAACTTTAACGGAGAGAGTAAGAAGCGCAAGTTTCAGTTTGACTCGCCTCCAGGCAACTTTGAGAACTTACCGACAGAGTTGAAGCCTGTCGACGGAGTATTGTAACCACGGGCTATTGTCCAATCTCATAGGCCTTTTACTAAGATAGGTTTTCTTCTTCTTTGAACTTGCAAAAACTGCATAATCTTTTCTGGTAGCTACACTGTTCTAGAACTTAGCCATGAAACTCTGTGAAATGATGTAAATCAACATCTGTAGTTATTCAGGGTGTTTGGTTGAGGAAAGTGATTATAATCGGGCAGGGCTCGCGACGGTCGCACGGCTCGCTCGCACAACTCTCCTTTACGCAGCCAGGTGAGCAGAGGCCCACCCATCGCCCGCGCCTTCTTCCTTTCTCATCTTATCCATTCTCACGCTCTCCTCGCCGTCTCCCCACCTCCAGCCAAGAATCTCGACGGCGATGGCCGTTGCAACTCCATGCCAAACTCCGCCACGCAATGCCTCATGGTGCGGGAGGCACGCATCACTGCTAGATCGAGCTCTCCGAGGCCGGCACTCGCGTGGCCCCTCCACTCTCACGAGTCACGAATGTGGTCGGCGTTTACGGTTGCGATTTTGTTGTTGTTTTATTCATGCCTTGGTGAGGTGGAGATGCATCTCGCGGCGGGCAGCTGCCGCAAGCCACGCAGGGCTGCTGTTGGCAATCGGCGAGGTAGCACCTCGCCACTGGGATGGACATATTGTGACTAGTGACGCTGAAAGCTACGAGCGGCGAAATCAAAAGCTGGAACCGGCGATGCAAAAAAAAACACTACTACCAACGAAATTATAAGCTGATGCGATAGCTACAACCAACAGATCAAAATATTGCGACCAGGGAAATCAAATTCTGGGATGGGCGAAGTCAAAAGCTACAACCGGCAAAATCAAAAGGTGAAAACCGACAATGCGAAAGCTAATACCGACGGAGCAAAATGTTGCGACTAGCGAAATCAAAAGATGGAACCGGCGAACTCAAAAGATACAACCATAATTGCAGCCGGTTCACGGGCAACTGAGGGTGTCCCGGCTAAGGGGCCACTCACCATGTTGACTCTCGGCCTACTGGGCCATAGATTGCGAGACGCAGTTCTGTCTCGCCTCTGGTGTGACGCCACTAGGGCAGCCAAGTACAGTAGTTACATTGAACTTTTTCTCTCTATGTGGTTTTCTTATATTTTTTTCACCATGTATCGGTTTTTCTTTGTTCATTTTCCTTTTTAGGTCTTCTTTGTTCCTATCTTTGGTTTTCTTTCTTTTTTTCACCACATGTCTACATTTTTCATATAAATTATGCATTTTTCATATGCATTGGAAACATTTTGTATACACGTTTAACATTTTCTAAACACATGATTAACATTTTTTAAACATATGTTTTGATGTCTATTTTTCATACACATAGTATGTTTTTGGTATACATCTAAAACCATTTTTGTACATGCTTAACAAGTTTCAAGTACACGATGTTCTTTTCAAGGAAAAAGTTCAAAACAAACCTTCAATTTGTAGGCGAAAGCTAAATCAAAACCCAAACTCTCAATCCCTGTAACGAGCACACCAAACTCTCTAATCCCGGTCTATTTTAAACCTTGACAGGACATAGTCGGGATTTACTGAATTGGGCCGGCCCAGTTGCGCAGTTACTTGCGCACGAGCACTAATATGGTTTTTCTTAGTTTCTTTCTTTTTCGTTTTCTTTTCATTTTTCTTGCTTGCACATGTCTAAATTTTCTCAGTACCCAGTGTACATTTTTTACGCACACATTAAATATTTTTGGATACACTTTTGATATTTTCAAATACATTATGTACATTTTAAAATTAAATGTTTTCAAACCTTTTTTTGAATACATGGTAATATTTTTCCAAATACATGTTTTACATTTTCTTAATGGCAATAAACATTTTATAAAACTACACAAACACTCTTTTACATGGTTCAACATTTTTAAATTTGCATACACTTCTTTCAAGGACATGCCACATATATTCTGTTAAGGTTATGACACATTTTTTTACATCACGCAAACATATTTTTACATTGTACAAACATTTTTTATTTGAAAATGTCACAAACATGTTTTTTTGAAACTCGTGAACATTCTTGAAATGTTACATTTTTCTGAATGTACAAAACATTTTTTGAATCACACAAATATTATTATACATTGTATAAACATTTGGATTGGCCCATACATTTTTTAAAACTTGTGATATTTTTTAGATGTCACAAAATATTTTCAGGTTTCAGAAAATGTCTATGTATCAAAAAGTGTCTGCACTTTAAAACTTTGTTCAGGTTGCAGAAAAAATTTATGTTTCAAAAAGTGTTTGCACTTTAAAAATTTGTTCAGCTTGGAAAAAATGTTTATAAAGGTGTTCACTTTTTCAAAGTTGTTGATTTTTTAAAAGTATTTGAAATTTTCAAAAATTGTTCGCACTTTATAAAATGTTCAAATATTTTATAAATTAATATGTTTTCAATAATTGTTTGCCCCTAAAAAATGTTTTCAAAGTTCGACGCTTTGGTTTCTGATTAAATATTTGGGGCCTCTGACTATGTCAGTCATAGTCGTCTGCTGTAGTGGCTACCTGGTCCCAAGTTCGACTCCACGACATGTCTTTTTGTTTTGGAATTATTACGTTGCCCGTTAAGAAAAAGAAAGAAATATTTTTTACGTCGCATGTTAAGGAAAAAAAATCGCTTCATGTCTGGTGGGCTGGCCCCGTCGAGTCCACTACCAACAATCCGAAACATTTTTAAAATACATTATTGATGAAATAATTTCGAAAATTCCAAAAACATTATTTAAAAAATGTGACACAATTTTGAAAATAGGCAACATTTTTCAAAGCATGTTAAAATCTGTTGAAATTCTGAACATTTTTGGACAAATGTGATTTTTTTGAAATCACGAACAGTTTTTAAAAATGTTTCTAGAGTTTCAAAATTCCAAACAGTTTTTAAAAAACACAAAACGAATTGAATTTGTGCCAAAAATAGAAAACAGGAACATTTTTAACTTCTAGACAACTTTAGAAATGTGCAAACATTTTTTAAACCTCACGAATTCTTGTTGTGTTATAGTGGGCCGGCCCAAATTCTTGTCCCTGAGAGTAGCTGGTATCCCGGCCGGGATTGTAGTATTCTCAGTGTGCCAAACAGGTATAGGGTCCAAAATAGACCGGGATTGCAAGTTCAGTGTGCCAATTTTCAGGATTCAAAATTCAGGGTTTGATTTAGCTTTCGTCTACAATTTTAAGGTTTATTTTGGACTTCTTCCTTTTTTCAAAGACATGGTTTCAACATTTTTCTGAATATGTGTTAAATATCTTTCAGCCCAGGCCTCCGGAAGCTCTAGTGCATAGCGGGCGGCTAAAGCGTGCGGAGAATGTCAAGAGAGGTCGGGGTAGACCAAATTGACATGGGAGAAGTCCGTTAAGAGAGACCTGAAGGATAGGCGTATCACCAAAGACTAGCTATGAATAGGAATGCGTGAAAGTTTGCTATCCATGTGCCGGAGCCATGAGTTGATCGCGAGATCTTATGGGTTTCATCTCTAGCCTACCCCCAACTTGTTTGAGACTAAAGGCTTTGTTGTTGTTGTTGTTGTTGTTGTTGTTGTTGTTGTTGTTGTTGTTAAACATCTTTCAAATAGATGCTAATTTGTTTGAATGATATAAACATTTTTTAAATTATGTGAACATTTTTTTACATTGTATAAACACTTTTTTAAACGTCACGAACATATGTTTGGTACTCTTACCAGTTTTTTCAGATTTGTTTTGAGATTTACCAGTATTTTCAGATGTAATGTACATTTTTTGAAATTTGTTCCAATTAAGGATACATATAGTTTACATTGCATTTTTTTGAACGTGACAAACTTTCTCTTAAATGCTACTAGTATTCTTTAAAACTGGCACCGACAATTTTGTTTTTTACACTGCATGAACATTATTTCAGGACGGCCCATTTAGGCGAGCGTGAAGTGCAGGTCGCATTAAGCGAGACATATTCCCCCTCTGGCCTCTCCCTGAAAGAAAAGAAAAAAGAGCAATGCGGTGTTGCGCTTCAAATGCCAACAGCTGCAGTCCCAGTCGCAGTCCAAGCGTAACGGGCTCTTCTGTTTCTTCTTCTTCTCCCCCAAGTTGACAAGTTGATCCCCCCCTCCCCGCAGCCACAAACCGCCGCGCGATTCTCCCCGATGGGCTCCCTGTTGAGCAGCCTCTTGGGCAAGCCGGAGCCCCCGCCGCCCATGGTGCTCGTGCCGCCGCTCTTCGACTACCCGCCCATCGCCGCCCGCACCAGGTCCGTCTCCCCTCCCGTCCCCTGCGCGTCGAATCCGCTCCGAACCCTCTCGATCCAGTCGGTCGGTAGCAGCGACAGCGGGTCTGGCTCCAGAAGGGTTGCGCAGTGCGGTTTCAGTCACCAAGGGTTCCTAATCTCCGTACTAATCCATCCACTAATGACCGTGATTAGTGACGCCTCGTCGTTTATAGTACAATATACATTCGCGAACGAAGCGATAGATATGCGATTTCTTTCTACGATGCCACTGACTGACAGTCGTAGCGGGTATACAGTCGTGATTCTAAGATTCTGACAGCACGTCTCTGAGGTCTGAGCACATGGTAGCGGCAATTGATCCTTCGTTGCGAAACTTGCGATTCACGCAGGATGGCCGTGCCGGCGTATGAGCTCATGTTCGGGAAGCTCCCGCTGCGCAGTCTGTTTGAGGACTACTTCGATAACGCGGGGACCATATCCTCGAGGATCATGCTCAAGCCGCTGGAAGATCCCCACGTTGATCTGGTCGCCAACGTATCCTCTGAAACATGACTTATCATTACCGCATTGTTTTCTATTCTGCTGCATCTGTCCAAGTTAGGTAGGCATGAGGATCAGTGGATCTCCAAATGGTTCCTTCCTGTAACTTCTCGATTGCTTCATGATGATAACATTTTTTGCGTGTTCTGTCAATTGCAATAAAACTGCATTGCCATTTGGATGCTACCCTTCTGATGCAAACCAATCTCCACTGGGTAGCTCATCCATGCTATGCACAATCAACAAATTTAAGATTGCCAACAGTGCTTCATACCACCTTGCTGCTGGAAAGAGTATTTTCAGCTGATGTGCATGTTTATAAAGCTGTACCCATACCCTTGTATTCCTGACTTGTCGAATGATTATAGGTCTTGCAGTTGAAGTGTCAAGATGTTTTATTCCAATGCAGTACACTGTCGATTGACATCTAGTTATTGCTAGCGAAGTCTTTGCCTACCTTAATATCACTAGGTATCTGCAGCTGGAGATAAAGCTAGTGGAACAGAAGTAAAAGGAGACGCTCTATTTCGCTGGCAGAAGTACGTATTCCATAATTTACCAGCACTCTGTATTTATGCATTCTTTGTTCTATTCTGACATAAGAAATGCTTTACTGTCTTTCTAGATATTTGTATGATCCCCATACCTTTGTGGACGTTCAAGTGTCGACTTCAGAACCGTATGTGCCTTCTTGTTGGTTGGATAATACTGTTACTGCATTTGTTAATACTTATTTTGAAAATTGTATAGATGATGCTACTTTGGCTCATACTTGTTTATCCAGCATGCTGAAGCTGAGGTCATGTGCTTACTTCCCTGAGTATCGTCTTGGTGCATTTGGGACAATCCCTTTGCTAATGGGAAACAGGTAATCTACATATATAGTTGCTGTTGCAAATCAGGGAAGCCTTTGTTATTTTGAGAAATGTTCCCCAATATGATGTTAGAAGTTTTATTTTTGGGCAAACTATGTTAGACGTTTTCATTATCAGTTTCAGTTCATATAGTTGGAAACCATCACAGTGAGCGAATTATGTTTTTCAGGCTGTCTTCTGAGGACTATGCTGTCCTGGGTGTGAGATATGGTTCAGAGAATCTATCAATTGGGGCGTCCTTTGTGCCATTGCCTGGTATGTGTCATTTATGTCTTATGTAGTTTCTGAATTGTGTTTAAAGATTATACATAACGAAGTAGAAAACCCACTTAATTTGGATCCATCTAAAGGATTAGAATTATTGCCGAGTAATATGCTTATATTCAATCTTTTCTTGGTTATATTGAGTTTATTTTTACTATAATTTCAATATGTATTATATTGAAAGCACTAATACCTGCTGACATTACCTTTGTTTGCAGAATCTGCTGAGGTGCCTTATGGAGCATGGTTGGTTGGGAGAAAAGGGAGTTTATGTGCAGGAGCTCAATATAAGCCACTTAGTGAGTGTTATTCTCTGAATGATAACTTATTATTGTTAGCAAAATGCTCAACAAATAGCAGTGCCAGACTGGCAGTTCATCAACCTGTAAAATTCCAACACCTTAGTAGATAGGTAGAAGATGTAACTAAAAAATCACTGTATCTTGCTGAGTCGCATTAACATTTGATGATGGTTCTGGGTTTCTGCTTGAAGCGGAGCATAGGAGCACCGTAAAGAGTTGCAGCACTGGTTGTTCATCATCTGTTACAATTCTTTTGTGTATAGATGCATGTAAATTTCCCTTAAGTTATCACTCTGATGATTTGCATTTGCTTCGTTTTCTTCACCACCAAAGGATGCATGTTCTATTTATCAAGCCCTATTAGCATATACTCCCTCCGTTCCCAAATACTTGTCTTTCTAGGCATTTCAAATGGACACAATATACGGATGCATGTAGATATATTTTAGACTGTAGATTCACTCATTTTGCTCCGTATGTAGTCACTTGTTGAAATATCTAGAAAGACAAATATTTAGGAACGGAGGGAGTAGTTTCTTTAGTCATGAAATCACAAAGAATGGAAGTACGTCGCAATTCTGAATACTTTCTATTCCTATTCTATTTTCCAACATTTTCCTCTTGTTCTAATATTTGACTGAAATGTAATATTTGTAATGTTATGACATGTACAATCGGTTTCTGCTTTAATGGCAGTTGTTTTTCCTTCATGCATGTAGTCAAGGAGATGAGGACATTCAGTTTCTTATTTGCACTTTATGAGATTTTCTGAGTTATTAGATTTATTGCTCTTGTGACCATTCTGTAATAGGTGGAAACAAACATCCTATGCCATACACGGACCCGAAGAACTGGAATTATGCAATCAGTTATGGTGTGGCCTCAACAAGCCCTCTCAGCCCTTCATTCAATTTTTCCCTAGAGCTTGCCAGAAATACACAGGTCTGTTCTAGTTTTTGCTGTTTCGTTGATTGGAAAATTCGCTTGCATTTGCTAGTATACTTTAATAAGGCTATAAACAAGACATTATGACGGATAATTGGCCCTTTCAATGGATGTGAAATCTAGAACTAGCTATATATATGTTGAGGTGTCTTTTTCTCAAGAAAAAAATGCTGGTTGGAAAACATTATATGTTGATATATCTGAATATATGTAGGCAACTGTGAGTTTGCACAGAGTAATTCATAATGCATGAGTACCTCCCCATGACACATCACTATGGGGACAAGCTTCAACACCTATTAGATAGTTAGAGTTGGACTAGTATTTAGAATTTGGAAACAGAGGGAGTACATACTGTGACAATACATGTTTCTTTGTGAAAAAATGTTTTTCACCTAGGCATCAAAGAATTCTATCTTTAGTCACATAGAAGCGTGCCATGAAACAGCTGGTCTGACACATACCGTTTCTCTTAATTTTCTTTCTCTTAGGGAGCAATGGTGTACTTCATTAAAAAAAACTGCTACATAAACTAAATTGTTATTTATTATGGTAGTCAAAGAAAACCTTGATATCTCTAACACTAACTGTGTTTATCTTCACCGAGTCTCATGGTCAATGGAATTTTGTTTTCCTTGATGTGCAGTTCATTGCATCATTCTATCAGCACCTGGTTGTTCAAAGAAGGGTAAGGACACTTCTTTTGATTTTGTATTTTGCTTATTCGGAAATAGTTATTGGTTTTCTGTCATCTCTATGCAACTATTGCTTGGTTACGGAGGTGCCTGTCTTCGATAAGATGAAACTAATTGGTATTATCTGTCTTTGATTAGATAAAAACAAATAAGAACATCAAGCCTTTTATGCTGTCTGTGGATCCTGACTTATAGTTCCTTTGTTCTGTTTCAGTGTTGCAATAGTCAATATGTTAGACAAATACTCACTCTGTAAACTAATATAAGAGTGTTTAGATCACTAAAGTAATAATCTAAACGCTCTTATATTAGTTTACGGAGGGAGTACATATTAGTAAAAAAACTGAGAAAGCACAAGAATGATTATCTTTTTAGTAAGAGGGTAAGATTACAAAGTTCATAAGATAAATAATGGTCCATGCTACTTTGCCTGCTGTTTCCAAGATAACAGGCACATAGTAAGAAGAGGTGCCAAGTCTAATTTTTGTTAGTGGATAGAAGGATCTCCAAGAGATGTGTACTTAGCCACAAATTTGGTTAAACTCCACCATGTTTTGACTGAAATTGAAGATGCCAGTATGTCACTATGCGTACAGATGATGTTCCATGCAATTGGCAATTGATGTTTACAGTTAAAATTTCTATGCTGCCTGTATCCATCAGATAAAAAACCCTTTTGAAGATGATCAGGTTGTTGGGATCACAAACTACATAGACTTGGGGCTTGAGTTGGCTACAGGGTAAGCCTTACATTGGAATAAACATAACTTTGTTTCTTTTCATGAAATCAGCTTACTAACTCCGTGTTCACTGTTGTCAGGATTGATAAAAGTAAACCAGCAGAGAGTGGCAACAGCTCCTTGTTTCAGTTAGGTGCAAGCTGGCAAGCGAACAAGAACTTCCTGCTGAAGGTTAAGTAGACCCACACATCAATGGGACCTGTAAGCAGTTCTTATATAGACTCATTTGCTTCTGATCACCGTTGCCCTGTTCTTGTCAACAGGGAAAGCTGGGTCCTTCCAAGTCGTCCGTAGCTCTGGCATTCAAGTCATGGTGGAGACCATCCTTCACATTTAGCGTCACAGGTGCGTGACCATGTCTTTGTACTTTTGCGTGCGAACAAGAGCGGACAGCAGCACATATTTCCTAAAGCAAAATGGCTCGTATTCAGGACAACCAAATGCACACTACAATTTTCTGTGTCGATGTATACATTCTGATGAAGTAGAGAAACTGAATCCACAAAACGTAAAAATGATTCTGTGCGTCGATGTATCCATTCTGATGATGTAGAGAAACTGAATCAAAATGGAAAAGTGGTTTCAAATTATCAACGGAGGACTTGATACAACTTTGAGCTGACTCTTGCTGCGACGTTTGCAGCGGAGAACGACCACTCGAAGGGGACAACGTCGTACGGCTTTGGAATCCGCGTGGAGGATCTCAGGAAGCCCAGGTACCACCGTTTCCCCATCGGATGATTGCGACAGTCTCCATTCGAGGCTTTCGTTCTTGTGACTGCCTTTCATCTGCGGTGTATTGCCGGCAACTGACTGAGAATGAATTCTTTGTTGTGGAAAAAATGCAGCTACGAGAGGGCAGACCCGAACTACGTGATGATGTCGACGAACAAGGAGCACCTGGCGCCGGCCGCCCTGCGCGAGTTCGGGCAGCGGCCCATGTTCCAGGCGGATGTGGACTCGGGCAACTTCGATCACCTGCCCACGGAGCTCAGGCCCATGAGCAAGATCATCTAGGAACTCCAGCCAGCAGTTGCAGGACCTTGAGCGAGTAGAGTAGCTCTGAAAAGACTTGTACTGGATTTCAGTTTCAGGCCGGTTTCAGGTTCAGTTGGCGAGAACTTACTAGTAGTTCTTTTGCGCAGCTATTCCGCTTAGACTTGTAATAGGAGGATGTAGGCAGTTAACTTGGTAGTGATGGTTGAGCCGAGCGTGCTGAAGTACGTATTAGTTGGTCAGATGGTTTGCTCGTGCTGCTGCAGCCAGGATGGACCAAAGGCATTTCATTTACTTGGCCAGCTCTAGATTTCGTTTTGTTTCTTGGGTGGGCTGGAATCCTGGGATGGCATTAGGAAGGAAGATTGATGTGGTGCAGGAAGGACAGGGAAGCAAGATAAATAAGGTCGGCGATTACCTAAATGTTTGCAAATATGGACCTACAGTGCACTTCACTCCTACACAGATGCGTCTCACATGCCAGCTGGCATGGTGAACAGTGCGAAAAATAAAAAAATTATGAACAAAAAAATCTGAAAATCTTTGGCATCAAAAATACCCCTGTTGCGTGAATAGTAAAAATGTTCATTAATTCATAAAAATGTTTGCGAATATGGGAAAAATATTTGCGACTTTAAAAAAGTTCACAAACAATAAATTTGAAACTATGTTCACGAACCACAAATATTGTTCGTGGGTATGGAAAAAAATGTCCGCGAACCACAAAAAATCATGACTTTAAAAAATGTTACTGAACTTTTTATTAAAGTCGCAAATATTTTTTCCGAATTCATCGTTCACGAACATTTTATTAAAGTCACGAATATTTTTTCCAAATTCATCGTTCGCGAACATTTTTTAAAGTAACGAATATTTTTTCCAAATTCATCGTTCGCGAGCTTTTTTTAAACTCGCGAATATTTTTTTAAAGTCGCGAATATTTTTCCCAAATTCATCGTTCGTGAACATTTTTGTAAAGTCGTGAATAGTTTTTCCAAATTCATCGTTCACGAACTTTTTTAAACTCGCGAATATTTTTTTCCAAATTCATCGTTCGCGAACATTTTATTAAAGTCACAAATATTTTTCCAAATTCATCGTTCGCGAACCTTTTTTTGAATTAATGACCATTTTTACTATTCACGTGCCAGGGTCTCTTCGATGACAGAGGATCTCAGTTTTTTGATATTTTTTATATTTTTTCTTTGTCATGTACTATTCATCACGCACAGGAATTCAGGACTGTTTGCCATGCACTGTTACAGTTACTGTTTACGTGCCAGCTGGCCAGTTAGAGCCTGTCAGGGAGATTTTGGACCTGAATGACACACTTACTGCACTTTGAGGACCTGGATGACGATTTTTATAGTTCGAGGACCTACGTGACATCCCTGGAATAGTTCAAGGACCTACAGTGCACTTCACTCTCTGTGTAGAGGCAAGGCAGAGAAGTTGAAGAGGAGGCTGTGGATTAGTGATGTTTTGGCAGTCCAACTTGGGGGTCACATCTTCCGAGGTACACACAAACTTCATTGACATTCGCATCAGAGAGTCCGAAGAAGCGGGATGGCGCTTTACAGGTATATATCTATGGTGAACCAAGTGCTGAGCGGAAGTATATGACTTGGGATTACTTGCGAGACCTGCATGCAAAGGCCAGTCTGCCTTGGGTAATTGCTGGTGATTTTAATGAAATATTATCTACGCATGAAAAGGAGGGTGGATGTGGCTCGTCCACAACGGTGCATGCAACAATTCAGTGATGTTTTGAAAGACTATAGTCTGGAGGATCTAGGCTACACTTGGCGTCGGGGCCGTATTCGGGAAAGGCTGGACCGTGCCGTCAGCAGCATTTATATTTGGGCAGAGAAGATTAAACCATGAAGGAATATGTATTTAATACTTGGATTTTAAAAGTATAAGCTTACTTTGGTGCGTCTAGTCTTCGGAGAGTTGTCCATCACAAATGCCGATCACCTTCAAGGATTGCGATCTAACCTCCACTTTGTGAATAAATTTTGAATATTTCACACAAATTTTTTTATGAATATTTCAATGATCTAATCATCACCATATGTTAAGAGCCCTTACCCTAATCCTCAAGGGTTCGAGGAACAAGATTTGCAATCTAGAAGAAACATGGCGTATTGGGGTCTGTACTTCTTATGATTTACCTTCTATTTCTTCCGCTGCTTCGGCCACTCGACATGATCTGGGGACGGCGGCGTCAAAGTGAGTATGTTGAGTGCCGAGTCAGCGATGGATTGATTTTATTTAGAGCGACACAAAGAGGTGCATGACATTTTTTGTTTGTCCTATTTTTTTAGAAATTGTATGTTTTAGATGAGAGCCTTTTTGTAAGAGCTCGACGAGAGCCTTTTTCTGAGAAATAATTAGGTTTTTTCTTGAGAAATGAGAAATAATTAGATGAGAACCTGGTCGATCGATTTAGTTTTTTTAGGGGTGGTCGATCGATTTAGCTACCGCGCGCCCTGGCTGCCTCGCTCGCTGCTAAGACTGGGCCTCGCACTGGCTAGCTGCATCGCGGCGCAGGTAATTGTTGAACGGGCCGGCTTGTTGTACCGGTGTCCAGGTAATGAAATTACGGGGTGTCCCAGCCCTATATGGGCTATATACGTATAGGTAAAACTAGCAAAAGGGCCCGTGCGTTGTACCGGGAGAAAAAAAAATTATAATCGCATGACCATATTTTGCTGCATCACCGAGATAGACTATCACTCTTAATTTTTTCCTGAAATCATGAACATTTTTTTGAACTCATGCACATATGTGAAATCGTGAATATTTTTCAAATTCATGAACACTTCTACAAATTTTTGAACATTTTCTAAAATCAAGAATATTTTTTGAATTTGTGAACATTTTATACTATTTGCAAACATTTTTTAAAACATGAACATTTTGTTTGTTATTTTTTCTATAGTATTACTACTCAAATTTCAACCATATATGCCACTCAAAATTCCCCTCTTCCAAAAATTTCACGGCTATTTAGTTGAACATTAGTTGTCTGTCAAGAGACAGTTGAAAAGATGATTTTATCCATGACCATCAGGTGCATTGCCATCTGGTGTTCATGGCCACCGAGAACTTTTTTGTTAAACAATTTTCAGGAGATGGCACACTATCTGAAATTTTCCTAGTCAAATGATGCATGTAAACAAAAAACAAAAAAGAACCCACCCGACCCTGTCCTTCCCAAATCCTCCCACCGTCACCGCCAACTGCTCATCGCACCGCCGCCACCATCCCTCGCCGCCGAGACCCAGCACACTGCAACCGCAATCTGCACCAGCGCGCCGCCACCGCGGACTTCTCTAGCGTGCCACCGCCGCGAACTTCCCGGTCTCCAGCCCCAGGTCCTCGTCCTCCGACCTCCCAACCCCTGCCTACACATTGCCCTTCCTGGCACGCTGCCCCCACCCTCCCGCACCCTACATCCACTATCCCGCCGCCGGCCACGGATCCCTCCGGCGGGCCCCATCCCCGCCCCTCCGGCCTTCTTCCATAGACCCGGCGGCATCCTTCTTTGACAGAGCCGGCCTTCTCCCCATCCCGCCGCCCGAGCAGCAGTACGTCGCCGTCTGAGCCCTCGTGCACGGCCACTGCTTTCCCTGGCGTCGTGCCCCGCCCCAACCCGTCGTCCCCGACGACCGCCTCAAACTCACGGTCACCCTGCCCGAGCCCCATTGCCGCGTGCACCCTGCACCTCGCTGCCCCTTCTACTCGCGCCACCAATGTCCTTCCGCTGCTGTTGCCGCTAGATGAGGAACTCCAAACATCGCCGGATCCAGGATAGCACGAGCCCGTGGCGAGGAGCTGCTGCGTGTGTGTGATGCTCGGTTGCCTCCACCCTACATCATACCCAGCGGCCTTCAAGCTCGCCGTTCGGCCGTATCTTCGGTCTGGACACGGCCTGGACCTGGAGCATGGCCTGGAGCAATGGCGCCGTTGTCCGAGGCCCGCGGTTTCTATCCCTCCTCCCGCTGGCAATTGAACTGCAGTTCACGGGGCAGTAGAACCTCCTGTGGGGCTCGCGTCCATTATCTCGTGTGCTCTTGCTTGCTGCCTCCACCGCAAGATGACGAACAAATCCGCGCGCCATCGGGAGTCAGTCCACACTTATATATACATGTATTGGGCTTGTGTGTAAATCTTGTCATAATGATATCCGAAAATAAGGTTAAAATCTCTTTTCAAAATATGTAAACATTTTTAATATGCTTTATATATATTACAATATTTTTTGGCTTCAAGCTCCAAATTTGTGTGACTTGGTTTGTCTTTCTCTTGCTTCAGTTTGTTGCTTACGAAAGACAGAGGCTTGCCGGAATTGCATTTTGCGAATGCTTTAGTGACCCTAGTTCCACACGTATATATTGATATATTCGTGATACGCATAGATTTGTTATTAGGCGATACTAAAGTACAATAAATTATTTCACAGTATTAAATTATTTTAACGTCAGTTTTGAATATATTTTTCTTATTTTTGTCTCATTGTAGCCTGAGGTCCAAATTTATGAACGACTTGGCTCCAATTAACATTGTGGCTCTGCAAATCGTTGCCGTGCAGCATCATTCAGCAGCTCCACACAGCCTCCGGCCACAGCCCACACACACACGCTCGACTCCTTGTGTGGTTGGGCCTTTTTTTGGATTGGGCTTAGGTTTTTTAGATGGCCTGGCCGGTGTTCAGTTTTGATATATTGGCCAGTGTTCTGTTTTTTTTAATAACCAGTGTTCAGTTCTGATATGTATATGTATTTGGCTACAGCTTGGTCGTTTGACTTGCCATGTCCGATTGAAGTAATGCACGTTTAGGGATGGTAATTGGTACCCATTACCCGCATACCCTGTGGGTAAAAACCCGATTAAGGTAAGGGTATGGGACCAAAAATTACCCATGGGTACTTAAATGGAAAAATATCATACCCATCGGGTAGAGAGGGTATGGGTATGGGATCGTATAACCCATGCCTGCGTTCTCATGTACCCAT